TCATGTCGTCCGTTACTGCGATTACCGCTGGTCCTCGCCATCTCGGACTTCATCTGAACCTCACTACCGACAGGCCAGCGCCCGCTTCACATCTGCCGCGCAGTCTTCTCCGCCAAGCAACTACAGAAGGTTCAACAGCCGATCACCGTCACCACATGGTCGTCAGTTTCGTTCGCCTCCAGGACGTCGCCAGTCGTCTCGCTCACCGCAGACTCGCAGGCCGTCGTCCCCATTCAAACCCGCTCCTGCCTACCCGGAAAACTAAACGGTGCAGCCCCCGGAGGTGACGCTGCATTTTCGACTCCCTCCACAAATCCTCTCTTGACGCTTCCGACGAGACAAAGTTTGTTAGACGTTGACGGTGTGGTTATTTCTGCCCTTATAGATACTGGAGCGCACATTTCTGTAATGAGCACGAACGTTCGCCGACGCCTACATAAAGTGCTCACGCCTGCCGCTTCCCGCACACTTCGTGTAGCTGATGGGAGGACCCCTGACGTTCAAGGGATGTGCACAGCCCGTGTGTCTCTTGCCGGTAATCCTACATTAGCTCAGTTTGCCGTCATTGAAATGTGTCCTCTGACTTAATACTTGGTTTGGACTCCCTGTCACGTCATTCTGTGCTCATTGATTGTGCCACTGGTACTCTTCAGCTTGAACTGCCACAGCTTGCCGATTTTCCAGCTGACTATTCTCCCCGTTTATGCTCTCGTCACCACGTTCGCTTGCCTCCGCAAGCTGCCACATATGTCACTTTGTCGTGCTCACGTCATGTGCCCGATGGTGACTACCTCGTCGCTCTTATAGTCGACGTACTGATGGCCCGAGACGTCGCCCTTGTTCACACTGTTGTCGCCGTCGCTAATAATACAGTGGTTATACCACTACTCAACGTGAGTTTCTTGACTCAAGTTATTCCGCAAGACATGTATTTGGCCACCCTATCTCCGCTTGACAGCTGCAACGTTTCTGGTTTGGACACCGATACTACATCCCCCTGTCTTGGCCGCGATTACACTCTGCCTGCCGATGACATTAACAAGATGATTGCTCCCGACCTCACTCCAGCGCAAGCTGCCAGCCTCCGTCGTCTGCTAACATCATAGAGAGACATTTTCTACTTTGCCACCGCCCTTTCAGCCAAAAAACTGCAGTGACTCACCGGGTCAACACTGGTGGTGCCAGTCCTATAAGGCGGCGTCCATATGGCGTATCTCACAAGGAACGCCTAGTAATTCAGAATGAAGTGGACAAAATGATATCCTCCCTTCTCCGAGGATATAAGTGGTCCATCTGCTTATGTTACTTGGACAATGTCATCGTCTTTTCACCGACCTTTGACAGCCATATAACACGTCTGTCAGCCGTTCTGGATGTTTTTCGAAGAGCCGCTCTCCAGCTCAATTCTGCAAAATGCCATTTCGGACGTCGCCAAATCACCATACTCGGTCACCTTGTCAGTGCCGCTGGTGTTGAATTGATTGATATGTGGGGTTTAACGTCCCAAAACCACCATATGATTATGAGAGACGCCGTAGTGCAGGGCTCCGGAAATTTAGACCACCTGGGGTTCTTTAACGTGCACCCAAATCTGAGCACACGGGCCTACAACATTTCCCCCTCCACCGGAAATGCAGCCGCCGCAGCCGGGATTTGATCCCGCGACCTGCAGGTCTGCAGCCGAGTACCTTAGCAACTAGACCACTGCGGCGGGGCGTGCCGCTGGTGTTCAACCAGATCCCGAAAAGGTGCGAGCAGTACAACAATTTCCTGAAACACGCTCAACCAAGGACGTCCGAAGTTTTGTAGGGCTATGTTCCTATTTTCGCCGATTTGTCCGCAACTTCGCCGACATCGCTCGACCGCTTGCTGATCTCTTAAAGAAGGACGTTCCCTTCGCATGGTGCGTAGAGCAAGCGGACGCCTTTTCGGCTCTTACCATCTGCTGACTACACCACCAATACTGGCCCATTTCGACCCTGCATCACCTACAGAGCTTCGGACCAATGCCAGTGGCCAAGGAATTGGGGCGGTCCTTGGCTAACGACAGCACGGGAAGGACCGCGTGATTGCTTACGCCAATCGTCTTCTTTCCCCTGCCGAACGGAAGTTCTCCATCACTGAGCGTGAACGCCTAGCTTTAGTGTGGGCCTTGGCAAAATTCAGGTCTTACCTGTATGGCTGAACTTTTTCTGTTGTTACGGACCATCACGCTCTTTGTTGGCTCTCATCGCTAAAGGACTCATCTGGACGTCTAGGTCGCTGGGCGCTCCGTCTGCAATAATACTCGTTTATGGTCCACTACAAGTCGGGACGCCTGCACACAGACGCAGACTGTTTGTCATGTTATCCGGTTGAAACGCCCGACTTGACAGACCTTGATTCAGACCCTTGCGTTCTTTCCATCCACGTTTAGAGTGATATCTCCACCGAACAACGACGTGACCCGTCGTTACTCTCCATCATCGAGCGTCTGACCTCTGCTCCAACAGGCCCTTCCGTTCGCCTGTTCGAGCTGCACGACAACACTCTGTGCTGTCGCAGCTTCAACGCTGATGGCCCGGAATCACTGCTTGTGCTCTCCTATCACTTGCGTATACCAGCGTTCTCGAACAACTACATGACGTACCTACAGCCGGTCACCTAGGCGTCTCTCGTACCTATGATCGTGTGCGACGTCGCTTTTTCTGGCCCGGAATGTATCGTTCTGTGGTTCGCTACGTCACGGCTTGCGACTGCTGCCAACGCCGCAAGCGCCCCTCTGTGCTACCGTCTGGCCTCCTACAGCCCATTGACATACCGACAGAACCATTCTTCCGTGTTGGCCTTGACCTGTTGGGCCCGTTTCCTACATCCACCTCCGGAAATAAATGGGTTGAAGTCGCCGCAGACTACGCCGCACGCTTTGCCATCACTAAAGCACTGCCGACAAGCTGTTCCAATGACGTCGCTGACTTTCTCTTGTATGAAGTCGTTCTTCATCACGGCGCTCCGTGGCAGCTGCTTACTGATTGAGGAAGGTGCTTCCTTTCACGTGTTGTGGATGACATTCTCCGCGCCTGCTACACTGAGCACAAGCTTACCACCGCTTATCATCCACAGACAAATGCATTGACCGAGCCTCCGAACCGAACGCTGACGCAGATGCTGTCAATGTACGTTTCGCCAGATCACCGTGGCTGGGACAAAGCGCTCCCCTTTGTCACGCTCGCGTACAATTCTTCACGGCACGACACAGCCAGTTATTCGCCGTTTTATTTGCTATTTGGCCGACATCCAGCACTACCATTTGACACGCTCCTTCCTTCGGATGCCCCTTTGTCTACTGAGTACGCCAGCGATGTCGTTTCTCAAGCCCATGCAGCCCGTCAGCTTGCCCGTGATCGGCTGCACTTGTCGCAAGCTCACCAAAAAGACCGCTATGACAGTCGCCACCAAAGCGTGCACTTCTCGCCGGGGTCTCTGGTACTTCTCTGGACACCAAACCGCCAAGTCGGCATATCAGAGAAGCTACTACCACACTACCATGGCCCCTACAAAGTGTCACGACAACTCAGTAACGTGTGCTGCGAGATCGCACCACTAAACAATGTCTCTTCGACCCCCTCGCTCCAGACAGACGCTGTACGCGTTTCCAGACTCAAACCGTATCACCCTGCTCGTTCGTCGCCGCCGTACTAAGCGCCGGGACGGCGCTTCCGCCGCAGGGGAGCAAACGTGGCACAGGAGCAAGCGTGGTACTTTGCGAAGATGAAGAAGACGCCTATGCGTTAGGCGCTTGCGCGAGAGGCAACTCAGCCATCTTGTTCGGCTGCCGATTCTCGGTGGACGCTATCCTATAAGCCTAGATCTCGCCCCGTCACATTTGGTGGACGTGCTGGGTAACCACCTCACAACGGAACTTCGCAGCGGCCGTCGTTTGAAGGGTCATTCCACAACGATGACGGAAAGTACGGCGTCTGCATCTGCTCCTGGTGTTCCTGCGGCCGGAAATGATGCGGTAAATGATGCGGTAACTACATCTCCTTCTGCGACCACAACCTTCGTGCTCGAACCTCTGCGGGATCCTGGCACATTTAGCGGTTCCGGTGATCCAGATGAAGTTGACGTTGAAGATTGGCTGGCAGAGTACGAACGTGTGAGTACTCGATACCGATGGGGCCCAACTCTTATGCTGGCGAACCTGTTATTCTATCTTAGGGTAACCGCCAAATCGTGGTATGAGAACCATTAAACAGAACTTGGGAGTTGGGAAGTGTGCAGGGAGAAAATGTTGGACCTGTTCGGAAAGCCGATTGGAAGAAAAATGGCCGCGAACAAAAGCTCGCGTCTCGGGCGCAGACCTCGACTGAGTCTTACGTCTCCTATATAGAAGATGTGTTATCATTGTGTCGCAAAGCCAATGCCGACATGCCGGAGGCTTACAAGGTTGGACATATTCTTAAGAGGATTGCGGAAGACGCATTCAACCTTCTCATCTGCAAAAATTATTCTACAGTGGACGCCATTATAAAAGAATGTCGGCGCTCTGAGCAAGCGAAGAGCCGGCAGATTAACAGCGTGTTTACGCGCCTTCCGAATACGGCTGCTACGTGGTCTTGCGAAGACCGTGCAAGAACACAGCCGCCACCTCTAGATTCATCGGATCAGGTGACCTGAATTGTACGGCACGAACTTGAAGTCATTGCCTCTGCTCGGGCTCACACCGCTGCAAGTGACACGGCCCCACTCACCGCTAACATGGTTCAAGCCATCGTCCGCCAAGAACTCGCCTGCATAGGTGTTCCCTCGGTGTGCGCTTTGCCCAGTCCGCAGCGAGCTCCATGGCGTCCACCCTCGTCCTATCACGAGCAGCAGTTTACGGCCCGATCTCGTGACCCTGCTGCGTGGAGAACCGTCGACAATCGACCAATTTGTTTTCCTTGCCACCGTATCGGTCATGTCGTCCGTTACTGCGATTACCGCTGGTCCTCGCCATCTCGGACTTCATCTGAACCTCACTACCGACAGGCCAGCGCCCGCTTCACATCTGCCGCGCAGTCTTCTCCGCCAAGCAACTACAGAAGGTTCAACAGCCGATCACCGTCACCACATGGTCGTCAGTTTCGTTCGCCTCCAGGACGTCGCCAGTCGTCTCGCTCACCGCAGACTCGCAGGCCGTCGTCCCCATTCAAACCCGCTCCTGCCTACCCGGAAAACTAAACGGTGCAGCCCCCGGAGGTGACGCTGCATTTTCGACTCCCTCCACAAATCCTCTCTTGACGCTTCCGACGAGACAAAGTTTGTTAGACGTTGACGGTGTGGTTATTTCTGCCCTTATAGATACTGGAGCGCACATTTCTGTAATGAGCACGAACGTTCGCCGACGCCTACATAAAGTGCTCACGCCTGCCGCTTCCCGCACACTTCGTGTAGCTGATGGGAGGACCCCTGACGTTCAAGGGATGTGCACAGCCCGTGTGTCTCTTGCCGGTAATCCTACATTAGCTCAGTTTGCCGTCATTGAAATGTGTCCTCTGACTTAATACTTGGTTTGGACTCCCTGTCACGTCATTCTGTGCTCATTGATTGTGCCACTGGTACTCTTCAGCTTGAACTGCCACAGCTTGCCGATTTTCCAGCTGACTATTCTCCCCGTTTATGCTCTCGTCACCACGTTCGCTTGCCTCCGCAAGCTGCCACATATGTCACTTTGTCGTGCTCACGTCATGTGCCCGATGGTGACTACCTCGTCGCTCTTATAGTCGACGTACTGATGGCCCGAGACGTCGCCCTTGTTCACACTGTTGTCGCCGTCGCTAATAATACAGTGGTTATACCACTACTCAACGTGAGTTTCTTGACTCAAGTTATTCCGCAAGACATGTATTTGGCCACCCTATCTCCGCTTGACAGCTGCAACGTTTCTGGTTTGGACACCGATACTACATCCCCCTGTCTTGGCCGCGATTACACTCTGCCTGCCGATGACATTAACAAGATGATTGCTCCCGACCTCACTCCAGCGCAAGCTGCCAGCCTCCGTCGTCTGCTAACATCATAGAGAGACATTTTCTACTTTGCCACCGCCCTTTCAGCCAAAAAACTGCAGTGACTCACCGGGTCAACACTGGTGGTGCCAGTCCTATAAGGCGGCGTCCATATGGCGTATCTCACAAGGAACGCCTAGTAATTCAGAATGAAGTGGACAAAATGATATCCTCCCTTCTCCGAGGATATAAGTGGTCCATCTGCTTATGTTACTTGGACAATGTCATCGTCTTTTCACCGACCTTTGACAGCCATATAACACGTCTGTCAGCCGTTCTGGATGTTTTTCGAAGAGCCGCTCTCCAGCTCAATTCTGCAAAATGCCATTTCGGACGTCGCCAAATCACCATACTCGGTCACCTTGTCAGTGCCGCTGGTGTTGAATTGATTGATATGTGGGGTTTAACGTCCCAAAACCACCATATGATTATGAGAGACGCCGTAGTGCAGGGCTCCGGAAATTTAGACCACCTGGGGTTCTTTAACGTGCACCCAAATCTGAGCACACGGGCCTACAACATTTCCCCCTCCACCGGAAATGCAGCCGCCGCAGCCGGGATTTGATCCCGCGACCTGCAGGTCTGCAGCCGAGTACCTTAGCAACTAGACCACTGCGGCGGGGCGTGCCGCTGGTGTTCAACCAGATCCCGAAAAGGTGCGAGCAGTACAACAATTTCCTGAACACGCTCAACCAAGGACGTCCGAAGTTTTGTAGGGCTATGTTCCTATTTTCGCCGATTTGTCCGCAACTTCGCCGACATCGCTCGACCGCTTGCTGATCTCTTAAAGAAGGACGTTCCCTTCGCATGGTGCGTAGAGCAAGCGGACGCCTTTTCGGCTCTTACCATCTGCTGACTACACCACCAATACTGGCCATTTCGACCCTGCATCACCTACAGAGCTTCGGACCAATGCCAGTGGCCAAGGAATTGGGGCGGTCCTTGGCTAACGACAGCACGGGAAGGACCGCGTGATTGCTTACGCCAATCGTCTTCTTTCCCCTGCCGAACGGAAGTTCTCCATCACTGAGCGTGAATGCCTAGCTTTAGTGTGGGCCTTGGCAAAATTCAGGTCTTACCTGTATGGCTGAACTTTTTCTGTTGTTACGGACCATCACGCTCTTTGTTGGCTCTCATCGCTAAAGGACTCATCTGGACGTCTAGGTCGCTGGGCGCTCCGTCTGCAATAATACTCGTTTATGGTCCACTACAAGTCGGGACGCCTGCACACAGACGCAGACTGTTTGTCATGTTATCCGGTTGAAACGCCCGACTTGACAGACCTTGATTCAGACCCTTGCGTTCTTTCCATCCACGTTTAGAGTGATATCTCCACCGAACAACGACGTGACCCGTCGTTACTCTCCATCATCGAGCGTCTGACCTCTGCTCCAACAGGCCCTTCCGTTCGCCTGTTCGAGCTGCACGACAACACTCTGTGCTGTCGCAGCTTCAACGCTGATGGCCCGGAATCACTGCTTGTGCTCTCCTATCACTTGCGTATACCAGCGTTCTCGAACAACTACATGACGTACCTACAGCCGGTCACCTAGGCGTCTCTCGTACCTATGATCGTGTGCGACGTCGCTTTTTCTGGCCCGGAATGTATCGTTCTGTGGTTCGCTACGTCACGGCTTGCGACTGCTGCCAACGCCGCAAGCGCCCCTCTGTGCTACCGTCTGGCCTCCTACAGCCCATTGACATACCGACAGAACCATTCTTCCGTGTTGGCCTTGACCTGTTGGGCCCGTTTCCTACATCCACCTCCGGAAATAAATGGGTTGAAGTCGCCGCAGACTACGCCGCACGCTTTGCCATCACTAAAGCACTGCCGACAAGCTGTTCCAATGACGTCGCTGACTTTCTCTTGTATGAAGTCGTTCTTCATCACGGCGCTCCGTGGCAGCTGCTTACTGATTGAGGAAGGTGCTTCCTTTCACGTGTTGTGGATGACATTCTCCGCGCCTGCTACACTGAGCACAAGCTTACCACCGCTTATCATCCACAGACAAATGCATTGACCGAGCCTCCGAACCGAACGCTGACGCAGATGCTGTCAATGTACGTTTCGCCAGATCACCGTGGCTGGGACAAAGCGCTCCCCTTTGTCACGCTCGCGTACAATTCTTCACGGCACGACACAGCCAGTTATTCGCCGTTTTATTTGCTATTTGGCCGACATCCAGCACTACCATTTGACACGCTCCTTCCTTCGGATGCCCCTTTGTCTACTGAGTACGCCAGCGATGTCGTTTCTCAAGCCCATGCAGCCCGTCAGCTTGCCCGTGATCGGCTGCACTTGTCGCAAGCTCACCAAAAAGACCGCTATGACAGTCGCCACCAAAGCGTGCACTTCTCGCCGGGGTCTCTGGTACTTCTCTGGACACCAAACCGCCAAGTCGGCATATCAGAGAAGCTACTACCACACTACCATGGCCCCTACAAAGTGTCACGACAACTCAGTAACGTGTGCTGCGAGATCGCACCACTAAACAATGTCTCTTCGACCCCCTCGCTCCAGACAGACGCTGTACGCGTTTCCAGACTCAAACCGTATCACCCTGCTCGTTCGTCGCCGCCGTACTAAGCGCCGGGACGGCGCTTCCGCCGCAGGGGAGCAAACGTGGCACAGGAGCAAGCGTGGCACTTTGCGAAGATGAAGAAGACGCCTATGCGTTAGGCGCTTGCGCGAGAGGCAACTCAGCCATCTTGTTCGGCTGCCGATTCTCGGTGGACGCTATCCTATAAGCCTAGATCTCGCCCCGTCACAATATAAACAGAACCGACTATAGACAAGTTGTCTAAGCAAAGGAAGTGCCGCTTTACAATACGCCTTTTACTCACGTGGCCGTTCTCCGCGAAGGTCCGCATAACCTGCGTGATGACGGCCACTATGCAGCAAAGGACGATGGCCAGTTGGATGACGCCAGTCCAGGCTGGGTAAACGTAGTCCAGCAGCCGGTTCCTCTGGGCGTTCACCGAGCCGAGGCAAATCGTCTGCGACAGACGAGGTGTCGTACTTAATAACGCCCTTCCATGTCAAAGAATTCGGGATCTCGATAAAAATATCGATAATGCCTAGGGCGCCAACAACAATACATCTCCAATTGCCTCAACAGGTCAAAGAGGTGGAATTCAAGCAGCGACCATTGCAACATAGCTTGTATCGCGACTGGTAGTATAGATCTGCATTTGAAGGTGGATTCAAGAAAGAGATGTTCATGCGCCTAAAATATTTCGTGAAATATGAAAATTCGTACAATCGATAAAATATTTTGGGTCCTTAGAAATATAAAATTATGATGTATACCACTAACACGCACGCCTACACGCGTGAAAAGTCCGCGATGGCCGCAAGCAAACAAGGATCCCCCCCCCCCCCCCCATGCGCCGGTCATACGGGTGAAGTAGAAGGTCACGTGACAGTACGACAAGCCGCCGATATCCAAACGCAAAGAAAATGAATTTAGTAATTGTGCGAGCATGCAGAGCAAGAAAGTTGCAAGGAGACTACCAATGTCATCGGTCGCATGGACCATCAGATAACGAAAGCAACCCATGGAGCCCTATAGAACTGTGGGAGCATTTAAAGGGGCAACGAGTCATAACCACCCAGAGGGCCATTTGCTATGCAAAAGTGCAACCAGCCGTGAATAAGTCCATTGTTTCGTGAACGGGAGTGGCGTGTATCTTCGTCAAATTGGAACTAGGGTCGTGACCAGAGCAGCAAGATGTTTCAACATCCCAGCGTTACAACACACTCACGAAGACAAACCTTCTTGTGTCAAAACAAGAAATAAATCTGGATGTTTTTACTCGCTTGTATCCTGGAAAGCGTGGTTAAGTCGGGTTTAGTGCCATTCGAATTGATAACATCTAGAGCCAGTCCACATCACTTCCATCTTTCTGTATTTCTTCCGCACTGTTTATAACACCTAAAAAAGGCGTGCGTGTGGTTCCCCGTTATTGCTCCCCACCTTTCCTCCGTTGGTCCAGCTAAAAAGAAAAAGAGAGGCATTCGCGCAACACCCCGCAAAGTCACAGTGAAAGCTCGAAGAGTGGTCTTTCGTGATTGCGTTGTAAACAATCTTGGTACGACCATTACAAGTACACATGCAAGATACATGCTTCGTCTTAACAACTTCCATGAACCTTAAAGAAGAACAACCCGTTTTAACAACAAAACCCACATAATATGTTTACTAAAAAGGTAAAAAGACAAAAAAACTAAACCAAAACTATAAACTCTTAAAAATTCATTACACGCAGTAAAACACTAAAGCGACAATTAAAGCACGAGTCAATTACCTAAACCAAGCTCTTGAGTTCGAACACGGGTGAGCGGTGGAGTAGTGAAATATATTAGTTTAGTCTCACCAACTCGTTGACGACTGGGCGACGCTTAAAGGGCCACTCACCAGGTCCCATACCGAATTTTAGTTAGACAGTGGAAGTTGTTGGGTGTTCGATGAGGAACGTTTTGCGACAAAAAATTTTCGAATCGGTTCATTACGAGCGGAGAAAAGAGGTTTTTTGAAGCGGCGCGAAACGAGGGTGAGAGGAGACGAGCTCGACACCCTTGCTGCTCCTCCGCGTAGCCTTCGTAAGCCAAACCTCTTCCCCACCCTCTCCGGCATCCGACCAAGGGCCTAGAGGTGACGTTTGCATGACGTGCCCGAACAAGCCCAGCCCCCGTGCAGCGAGCGGCGTTGCTTTGTTGACCAGCGTTATTTTGTTGTCTTCTGCCTCTTTCTGCGGGATTGTTTGGAAACGCTGGCTTAGACGCGGTAGAGTAGATGAGCACAATGAGTGCGCGAACGCGTAGGGGCGTTCCATGGCGGTCGTCAGCTCGATGCGCTGACCGCGGGAACCCGAACGCATGTGAAACGCTGGTACATTAGCCCCGCATCTAGTAGCATTTCACGGGAAAAAATGTAAGAAAAACGTGCACAATTTTTTATTGCGTCTCATTATTTATTTCAAGTTTTATTCATCTCTTAAAGCAACGAATACATAAACTACGCATGTTGTGTTAAATAATTTTTGTCAGGTCACGTGGTATACTGTTGACGACGTCAGAGCAGAGTCATCTACGTAGAGGACCAACGTGACCGCCGTGCTGTGTCAACACCCTCTAGACTAGAGGGTGTTGGCTGTGTACGTAGGGCCATTCCTACGCACAGAAATTAGGTGCCTTTTTCCTCTTCATTCTAATCACTACCACCGATCGTGTGGAGCATTCGCTTTCTGGGCGCGTCATTCGCTCGAAGGATTTCAAGCTGGACGGTTGTGCCCTCGCGATCTCCGACTTCAGCGTAGCTCCCGCCGACTGGTTCGCCCTCCGCGGTCTCCTGACGCCGTGCAGCTCTCGCATTGTGGCACCCCGCCCTTGGACTGCTTCGACCGGATCCCCACTTTCCTATCTCCTTCTTTTTTCCTCTCGTTGGCTGGCGGCTTCTTCTCCGTCTATTTTCCTTCTATTCTTTTTATCCCTCCTTCCTTCTCTCTATATCTTTTATTCCCCATATCCCATTCCTCTGCTGACCTGTTGAGGTGTCCTCGTAAGGAGAGACAGTTACGGGTCTGCACCTTTCTTTTCTTTTATTCTGATATAACCACTTATATATATATTCCTACGCCCACGTTATGCCCTCTTCTCTACGCGTGCGCCGGTAGAGGGGAGGGCGAGCAGCTTTCATCTTGAAATTTGACCCATTTCCGCGGCGCGTAGCGTTGCAAATTTTGACAGAAGTGATCATGAACGCCTCGTCTACGCATTGCGCTTGTCAGCTCAAAATTGTCAAACCTGGTGAGTGGTCCTTCAACAAACCGAAACGCGGTGGCTCAGGCATTAGGCGCGGACACGGGCTGACTGTTGGCGATGTGCGAACGCTGGCTGGCTGCGACGCGTCGAGAAACCAGCTTCAACCTGGCCCTGGCCAGGCAGCTGGACGTTCAGGTCAGACCCATAGCCCGGTGACTGTAGCTCACCTGTCGGCACCGATGTCCGCAGGCCCTGGGCATGAGTTCAGGACTGGATGGCTACGGTCCCTTCGAGCGAAAACGCGATGGAAGGAGGCTCCGGCCGGTTTATGTCTTCGAGGCTTGGGTACGACACCTGACGCCCCATCTTCAGCGCCCGGTCCGGTGACGACCTTCCGCTCAACACGTCCTTTCTGAACTCTTCTGGTTCTTCTCTCTCGCAGAATCTTCTGCTTCAGCTCCGGCCCACTCGTCTCGTTCAGATTGGAGATACTGCTGTTTCGGCGTGCCTAGCCATTGAGCCTTGAAATCTCCATGTTTGCTGCCCATTGGTTATCGTTTATTTTATTCATGTGATAGCACCCGTCCTCGTGCACGCGACGTCTTCGTCGTCGCCGCCGTCGTCGTTGTCTCACAGCACCACGCGGGCACTCTGTCCTTTCATATGGTCCTGTCTTCTTCGTGACGCTCCCTTTTCAAAGGCGCGTA